TCCCTAATCTTTGAAAGAGGTGGATTATGCTATCCTTGATGTTCAAGAATGGCTTTTAGCTACTAACGCAAATTCTGCTACTGGCTTATAGCTGACTCAAATCAGTGCCTCTTGGAGAAGACCTCCTGATGTTTTGCTAAAGTGCAATTTCGATGCCTCTTTTAATCTTTCTTCTAAACAGGACTCTTTAAATGATTCAGAACAACATGACAATCTCCAACGCTGAACCAAACCTGACCTGAATTAACCTTATCATCGCCATCGAAGATTTAGTTATGGGAGACAACAATCGGACTTATATATTGGCGGGTTAAGCCAAGCCCGTGCAGTAGTGCAACGCATGGACAACTTGTAAAACCCCAAATACCAAGCTATCTTATTGGACCTTCCCTTAAAAATAGAGTTAATATCGCGTGGACCGATGACACCACATTATTTATACTACTAAGTTTAGTATCAGTGTGAGACTTTTGACAAATACACGATCAATACGACGTTGCTTCAAACATAAATGGGAAAATTTGACGTAGTGGTCAGATAACAAAGAAGTGTGTTTAAATTTAAACTTTGTTACAATCCATGATTGAATAACCCCTATTTTTCCCTTACAATATCGAATTTTATAAACGAATTATTTATATATTAGGGTGTGTTTTGATTGTTTAATATCAACAAAAACATGAGCAAGATCCGATCCAGGGTTATTAACACAAATTATTGTTAATTGTAAAGTTGATCTAGCTCGTCTTTGTACTTAGCCACGACATTATCCCTTCTAATCTTAATCGTTGGTGTCATTAAGCCATTGTCTATCTGCAATGTTGTGTCATAAAGCAGTTTTCTTGATTAAGGTTTTCGATCTTTTTCGAACATTAATAAGAACGGATTACATGTACTTACCGTGAAAGGCTCGTCTACGATCAAGAACGGTCCGACTTGGAACGAGCATTCTGATGTCCTGCAACATTGTTTAAACAGAGTGAATATAAGATCTAATAGTTCTGCCATGCAAGAACATCCACTTCTCATATTCTTGTTCATGACAACAAGGTTCTTCTGCACTCTTTGTAATAAGAAATGCAAACAGAATACATCGATGCCTTTAATTAGTCATTAACTTAGTGTAACTAAGGAGTTGTGGGTTGGAGATGGTCTAAAATCGTACTTTACACTCAAAACAAACAAGAAAGCAAACAAAAAGAAAATTGGTGGTTATAATTATGCCTGATTTTACTAGTAAACTATGTTTTATGTATTATTTGTACCATGTAACAACTAATTAATGACAATCAAATGATTGCTTTGTTTATCTTAATGTAACTTCTTTTGGAAGAAAAGTCCCTAATTACTCTATAATGATTACAGTTTGGTAGATATGTTATTAGTAATTTATATTTTATTTTAAGATTCGTGGATTTATAATGTATTATTCGTATTAGGTAGAGGTGTTTGAATATATATGCGGGTCTGTTGCAAATTATTTTTTTGAAGAAATTAAATATTTCATTTACAAAATAATTAAAATCCAAGGTTACAAAAACCGTGAATTCTCTGCAAAATCGGTATAATAATGACCACAAACTAGTGGTAATGATCTGAATCAATAAGTTTTGCATGAACATATTAAGTATCTGGTTTGGTATGATTGATTGGAAGTGACCAACATAATCAATATGTGATATTTCAAAAACAAAACATTCTCTTCACCCGGAGTCAAAAATAAACGCTTAGAGAAGAAGAGGATCAGGAGAAACTTGAAAAGTTCTTAGCACCCCAACCACTACTCGAAGATTACCTGGTTGTTGGTGAAAAAGTGGATGGACACAAATCGAAT